TTTGCATAAGACTAACCTACAAACAGTAAGGCGTTTAATGTTAGAAGTAGGGAGACTATTCTGCAAGCCAGAAAATTGTTATTGTGATTTTTAATAGGAGCAATTTATAAATTATAAACCACATCTCGGTACATAGGAAGAGTTTATATCACGCTTAAGTATAAACTGTACAGAGCACCTCAATTTGAACAACATTACCATTAACCAGATTTCTAACAACTTCCAGGGATTGAAAGGGAGCAGTACAACTGAAGCTCCCATCTTAGATACTATTGTTCCACAGCAGAGGAATTACACACTAACCACATTGTTAACAATGACAGTAAAAAAAAAAAGGGACACAAGTTAGCCATAACTCTAAAAGATTGGTTAGAGAGCAACAAAACGTGTCAGATGCAAAGTTATAAACCAGACATTAAGAAAGAAATTGCTCTTTTTTTTGAAACGACCAGATTGTTGATGAGAACAGCAGTTCTTCCAAGCAGATAACAGGTGGTGTTGGTCTACTGCTGTAAATGTTTATGTTTAGCATATTAGTTTGGATCCAAGTTACCTTATTAAAAAACTAAAGTCACACTATAACATTAACTGAGCAGAGACTGTGGTAGATCTGTTTTTTCAATGGAGACTGGTCGCTTTTACAAGCACAGCGCCTTCAGTTCCTCGTTTGAAAGAGGTGTCTAATGGTGGATAAAGCAGTAAAAAACTTCTAAATATAGCATACATAAAAGCAGTATTGATTTTTCAGGAGGATAAATGCAATTTGGTGTGGACTCCATCCACAGCAGTACGTTGGTTAGCTTCTGAGCCGTTAACCATCATTGTAGGTAACACACAGACTGTGGATCAGGTCCTCAAACAGTCCCACTTCAAAGAAACCAAAACATGTCATTGGGAAGCTGCCTGCTTTTATGAACAAACTATGAAATGTTTATGAAATGTCAGTTTTAATTAGAGTGACTACAGTATTGCATGTCTATATTTACTTATATGAATAAAGAGATATCCATAGCATCATATATTGCCATGTACAAATATTAAGACATGATATTTGTTCAATTTTCCCCAGTTTGCAAGAACACTATTCTCACAGTTTAAATATGTGAAATCATTTAAACATAAAATAACAAATAAAAAGCACTTATAAAGCACATACAATGCTATTTCTTCTTTGTTTGCGCCATAAAAGTTTTCCATTTCATTTTCATATAAATAAAGTTCCCATCTGGCTTTGGCTAATCTGTATATCTTCTGGCTTTCTGTCAAAAGGTTGCTTGTTCAGAGTTAGGCTGAGACTTACCTACTAAACTTGATACCATGTGGGAGATAACTGGTTGCATAAAAGCTGTGTCTGACATGTTTCAACAAATAAATTCCAAAGAACAATCAAAATATGTTGACCCAACTAACAGGCTCACAAGCCAAACATGTCGAAGTAGTGCATGTTTTACATACTTAATAAAACACAAGCCGTCATAACGCACATTCTTACAATATTTACATACATTTGAAAAAGCTTTAAACTTCAGAACTAATTAACCAGTTCAGCTAGTTTGTGAACACAACCACACATACGTCACAGTTATTAATGAACCCCCTTAAAGATGTTCAAGAACTTTCATTTCACCTGTGGGTGGGAATAGTTTGCATATTTCAGTCATACAAAACGCAGACAGCATGCGGCAATGATAAATTCACAGACACTCCTGCAAAGCTTGTTTGAGTGTTTCTGTGACTCTGCACAGATACTCAGTTTAACTTGAAAATCCACACTTCCCGCTAAAGTGTTGAATCTATCGCTTAATAAAACACACCAATAATTTTATTTATCCAAGAATTGCATATCAACTTAAAGTGAACCTAGTGTGATTTGCATATTAGCCTGTGCTTTTAAAAAACACTTCCTTGTTAAAAGTTTCACTGGCTACAGTTCAAAAGCTCCCCTCAACTCAAGCGACAAAAAGCCACTCTGGTAGATACGAGTCGGACACTAGAGCCAAATATGCATCTCGTCTCATTACTACCAGCAAGCATTTTAGGTAGTCAAAGGAAGCCAAATGACAAGGCAAAACCGTTACCAACAACAGCTTGAACTAAAATTCACTTCCTGTCTTTACGTGTGTTCGGCTGCCCGCGGGGCCCTACCCCGCTATACAGGAATGCAGCTGTCAGACAAAAAAGCCTATGTGGTTTAGCCTCTCAAAAGAGGGATATTAAAAGAAGAAGCTTGTCAGGTTAAGATACTTGGTTTAGATTAAAAACACAGACGTGTCAGAGCCCTTAGGCCCCTGAGCATTCACCTGAGCTAGCCTGGTACATGAAAAAAAAAATCGTCAACTCTGCTGCTTAAAACAAAAATAGAATGGCAATGTGTGTGTGTCCCATGGAGAAGGGGAAAGGGAGGTTGTTTTGGCATGTCTAAAAGGGGGTGTGCGCTGATGTGGAATGGCAGCTAAGACAGACGGCGGGCTACACTTCTGTGCTCAGTTCAGAGAAGGGAGATAGCACAGCAGGCCACTGACAGAGCACGTTTTACGGGAGTGTCTGTCTGCTGGAATGCACGCTCCTTCAGGCTGAATTACAGCCTGCATTCAAGCTGTAGTTCAGGCAATTTGACTCGCATTTACACTAACTTTCTAGCATGCTAAAATGACTTGTACTACGGTGCTTATGCAGGAAGACGTAAATGTATTTGAATACAGGGCACTTGGGGAAGACAACCGTGAAGCAGAGCAGTAACGTATCCAGTCGGAGCTGATGTTCCTTTAGATAAACTGCTTTGTGAATGTGTCTTTCTACACCTTTTCCATCTGTTAAGCCCAACAGATAAGACAACTCAACAGGCATTGATTTTCATTGACCATTCAGACTTCCATTAGACAAATTAGGTACTTGCCCCAGGTCCTTCTTTGGTCAAATATAACCTATGGATCATATATCAAGCAACAAGACCCCACCCTGATCAACACAGCGAGTGCAATCTCTCTTTACAGATTTACATTAGAAGTGATTGCTGCAATATTCAACACATTCTGGACACCTTTGCCTCATCAAAGCTGAAAGGGAAAGAGGAAGACGACGTGCAGCACCATGTTAACACCAGTTGTTGCTCCCGTGTAAATTGGTAGCTTCGACAGATCCACTGTGGCTACAATTGATTAGATTATACGTCTACTTTGCCTAAAAACTAACTAGGCTGCTCGACTAATCATCCCTGACCTGGATTAGCCAGTGAATTAGACACAGACACGTCCACATCAGTCCACGTTGTCTTCAACAACAGTGGACACGAAAAATATGACAACGGGACTATACCGTTCTCTTTATAAATCGTGCGTTAATAGATAATTTTTAAATACACACAATGAATCTGCCATCAAGGTTAAAAACGTTGATTGTCAGGTTTCGTCAAAGCAGCGGTTGGAGCCAGGCCTAGACTAGACATGGCTCTCCGGAAGCACTGTGAAGTGCTGGTTGGGGTAAATCCGTACCACAGCTTGAGGCTATCATCTTTGGGACAAAAATACAAATTCCGGTCCCTTAAGATAACCCACCAATACCACAATGCGGTTTAATTTGATTTTAGTGTACGCACTGTTGTGCCGCCGCCTTCCAGACGTGAGTTAGCCGTTAGCCTACAAGGCTAGCGAAATACCTGTCCAGCTGGGGTGTTCGATTCATTCACAAAAATATGTGAAATTTGTAGTTTTTGGGGTGCTGAAATAAGTTGAGTCACTGCACCACTCCACGGCAGTGTATCAGCATTAATTTAAGAAAGAAAGATACGAAAACGAGAAGGTTTCGGTTCTTACCTTGTCCAGACAATTCACTTTTTCCGTGGGGTAAACGACTAGATTACATCTGCTACACAACGGATTCATGTTGGAGGAATGCTCTTCTAGCTAGTTAGCACAGAAAACGCCGATGATACTGGTCGTAGCTGTGTGCCGTCGAGTGTTTGCTCCGAAAAACAGCTATAATGTATGATTAGAAGCAGTAGCAGACCAACTCTAATCTAGTTGTATGTAGGAAATCCAGGAGGTTGTTGTCGTTGTAGCTGCACAGCTGGCTGTCAGTCCACTAACCAGAGACGGAAAGCGCGCTCCCGCCGCCCCCCTCTCTTCCTCCCTCGACTGCGCGTGTCCGAGCAGAAAGGGAAGAGGTTGTGTAGGAGGATCCGTTTTTTAGTTTTTTTTATGTTTGTTTTTATTTCTGAAAAAGAAAAAATATTACTACAAAATAAGGAACGAGAACATTCGTACATTTATATATTTAACTGGGATTATAGCACTGTTTTACTTGGAAATGAAGCAACATTATTTCAGTTTTCTGTAACAGTATGAAGGTCCAATCGTCGCCTGTGCATTTGCATATCAAACTTAACCGTATTTGCGCCATCTGTGCTCGCATAGAAAACTTGTACGATCATCTTTATAGGGTTTTTTCCCTTTTCTTTTTTTGTGCTTCACCAATCCAGTTTTCTCACATCAAATTTTACACATCTGCCACGTTCACTGCACTACATGCCCTACTTCACTGCTCATGTGATCCTTTTGTTTAGAGTGACATCTGCTGACAAAAGAGTTGCACTGTATCTGCGTATCGGCCTACATTATTTAATGTGTGTAGCCAGCTGCAACATTACTATTTGTTTACACTTATTTTATGTACAGCATAGAAGAAAAATGCAGAATCTTTAGTTACACCCCCCCCCCAAACAAAGCATGCATTTCAAGCGGGAGTACTGTTCAGGAAATGATAGGGTTACATTTGAGCAAGACAAAAAAGTGGAACTCAAAAGCATCACAATCGCAATCAAGAGCAGCAGGAACTGAAAGTGAAGCTCACTTTCTCATATCTTTGCTTATCTGATGAAAAAACTGCAAAGTTTATGTATGTCAGCTTAGTGGCATGCATTTTACAGTGTAATGCAGTGGAGGGACTATGAAAACCTTGCATTTCTAAATAATGTTCAACAACAGCACCATCCCTTTAAGGTATGTTTTTAAAAAAGACTTTTAATCCTTTATTTGGAACTCAATTTCCAATGTAGTTATTTGCACAACATGCATGATCCATAATTCCCTTCACATGGATTTAACATGGCCCGGCTTCAACAATGCTGTCTTTTTCATGACCGCCTCCTTCCACTTCCGTGTAACCAGACTCTTGCTTTTGAAACTTCAAGGAGGGCCAGTAGCTCTTGCGTCGCTGAAATGCATCAAGCAATAATGATACTCATATTATTATCATTGTTTAGAATATGAACATCAGCTTGACTCAGACTGAACATGTATAGGATACGTTTTGAACTCACCTGAATGAGGTAAAGTGGTGATACAGCAGAAGGATGGTAGCTGATGTAAAGAGATACCAGTATCAGGGCCAAGAGCAGCACCAGGGCAGATGCTAAGCCAGCGATCAAGCCAGTGTTAGCAAACCCAACGCTCTTGGTTGAAGAATCAGTTTTTACATCTGGAACTAAGACAAATTCTTAAGAATCCATTCCCAAACCTAATCTTACCAGTTTCTACAAGTGGTACTCACCACTACCAGTCTTGAAAACTTGATGTTTAGATTCATCTGAAAGTAAAAGTTTAAATACTTATTCCATTGTAGATTCTGTTTGTTGTTTTTACTGAGCAAACACACAGAGTTTAGTTCCATATTCTCACCGTCACTGTCACAGCCCTTTTGTTGTGGAGTCAGAAAGGTAATGTCCTCGATCTCTGGCGTGATGGAGGCCCCAGTGGAGTTGTCATTCCTGGAGTAATCCTCACATGTTGCGCCTTGGCTCTGCCAATACAGTTGACAGTGCAATTAATGATAAACACATGTTGAAACGTGGACAATACAATACAATAAACTGATATTTAGTCCAACTATACCTCTTCTGCACAAGCATAATCCAGCCATTCTTGTCTGTGTCTGTCCATGCCGTCTGAGCATCTAAAACAGGAGACATTAAAATGATTATTTTTCTAACACTGCCGGTTTGCAGAATTCCCCACTCACCTCTGCAGTACGTGACACCAACTACAACCAGAGGTTTGGCTGGCTGAGAGGCAGAGCTCACAGCTGTCATGCAGAAGGCAGGCTGCACAGGGAAAGAAAAGGAAAACACTGCTGATTTTTAAATCTTTGACTGTGGAAAGAAATCTTTGGAGATTTAGATATTCACTTACTAGGCAAAGGAGTGAACTCAACAGCAGAGTAGTTTGTAATCTTTGTAACGTCTATCTCAACTCGATGGTACTCATAGATCATTTGCCGTGGGAGATCTGAAATGGAAATATTATGATTTATATGTGGTTTTTTTTATGGTAGCACTTTATTGTAGTGCACAATTATTGCTGACCTGCTGACTGAGAAGACGGCGACATGACCATGAAGGCATCAGATAACCCAGCTTTCACTGGGTGCTCAGCTGAACTGATCACGTCTACCGACAGAGGTATCTGGTAAACACAAAGAAGTTTCACTTAATGCTTGCAAAAATAAGACTAAGTGACCTGATCTGAGAATGCCAGTAAGAGCACAGAGCAGAAATGTTCCTCACGTCTCTGTAGCTGAAAGTGATGGTTCCTGTTTTGTGAAGAGCAACTTGAAAGGTAAAACCTCCTACTGACTCTTTGCCGGGGATTCTGACATGCTCCCACTGGACCACAAAGACCTCACCTGAAGATAATGAAAGCCAAATAGAAATCAAACAGAAAGATCAGACAATCTCATACTCAAGGACATGTTCAAATGTCAGATGGTATTATACCATTATCAAGATATTGCACAGTGGATTCTTTGGAGTAGCTGGGGTCGAAATTAGCCATTAAAGGGGCGATGTACTGTGTTGCAGTCAGCATACGGTGAGTAATGTCCCCTGTGAAGATAAACCCTGGAAAAAGGCCAGAAGGAAAAATATGTAAGACTTGTGTACAACTTACTGCACTGCAGAAGGTCACTTGAACATCTGTTAGAAAATCAAAACATACCTCCGGTTGCTATGGTAATCTGCCTCAGGTAATGTCCATAAAAAGGAAAGTCAAAGGACAGGGCAACTCGCTGCAAAAAGAGAAGATTCAAACAGACACAGACAAAAGAAGAGATTAAAAAAAATGATTTATCTGTCATAAAAAAAAAAAAAAAACAGATTGAAGAAATGTCTTTGTTGTCATGTTTTGATTTGTTATTCTGCAGTTAAAAGCACCCCAGCTGCTCCTTATATGGTACAAAGAAGCTTCAAAATCTCTGGGAAAACCTTTGTTTTGGACAAATCTCTCAGTAAAAAGATTTGTTCTACTTTCTTTTTTAAAAAGACTTTCAGACTGCTCTGTTTCACACAGTCTTTTCTACTTTTCTTCCTCTGAATGAGAAAGAACAAAGGAACATATTTAATATGGTCATCTCAGGCACACAGCTCTAGCTATGAACACAGAAGCAACACACACTTGCTGTACGTGAGGGGCAGCTAATCAGAAGAAATGATGGCCTAAAAGGAGAGTGGCTTTATTGGAAAGGAGCTGCACGGCTACATGAAAGATCATATAAGATAAATATGCAGCATTCTGAACTGGGCAACATGCTGAGCTTCTCTGATAGAGTACAATAATAAAAACATGTAACTGTAAATGAGCACAATACTCAATTTTACAACCAGCTGTATTTCTAATGTGACGAAAATCCTGTATGTTATCTTACAAGAACTACATCAGTTTGTCATGACCAAAATCTAAATAAGGGGGCACCCGGATTTGAACCGGGGACCTCTCGATCTGCAGTCAAATGCTCTACCACTGAGCTATACCCCCTACATGTGAGCTTAGCAACTGGTCTTATCACAACACATTGGGTGTACAGGATCTGGACATGTGACTGGAAGCAGCCTGTCTGTGATTAACATTTTCCCAGCATGCTGTCCGATGTAATTGTTTTTCAGTGTACTAACTGAATTATAGCAACAACTTGGCTTTGTAAGTACAGACAGTTGAACTGGCTGGGTGTTAACTTTCCAAAGCAGATATTCTTCTAAATAACTAACATCCAAAACACTATAATTCATGCCTAAAACTCACATTATTATTATTATTATTAGGATCAAGAGCGGGAACATGATCCTGCTGTAACCAAGTATAAAAATTATCATGTTCAATTTTATTTGCAGCAACATCAAAACATGCTTAAGCTGTTTTGGGACTTTCCAAATGGCTGTCAACTCTGTCTTAACAGAGGTATACATTTTCAATGTGATCTGAGAAGTGAAACAAGTGCTGTTTCACCATATATAACCTGGACATCTGCAGTGGCAAAGTGCTGCAGTTCTGTTTTTTCCATCAGTCCACCAGTGTGCGAATGTGTGTGTGAATGGGTGGATGACTGAATGTGTAAAGCGCTTTGGGGTCCTTAGGGACTAGTAAAGCGCTATACAAATACAGACCATTTACCATTTACCATCAGTCTTCACTCTTTGTAGTTTTCACCTTTCTATATTTAAAGTGTATTAATATATCTCAGTTTTGCAGCTCCTCACATTAACCAATATGTTAATGTGCCTCAGCTTCCATGCAACCACATATTTACAAGGGAACTTCATCTTGGCTTGGTCTCATATCAAATGTTAAAGGAAATTTTCAGGTATTTCTAATTAATGTAGAATTATTAAGTATTTGCCAGGTTGCAGGAACATATTCTTTTTATACTTCAGCTGGATGATGAACCAAAACTGTCAGTTTTAAAAGAAATATGGTGAAAAAATACAGTAAAAATGTGGAGCAAGCGACACTTGCTGGCCAATTTGTTAGGTACAGCTTGCTAGTGCTGTGATGAATGCTTTGCCTGGATTCAGCACTTTGCCTGCTTTAATTCTTTGTGGCACAATTTCAACAACATGCTGGAAACATTCCTCATAGATTAAGGACCATATTGTCATTAAAGCACACAGTTGCTGCAAATTTATTGGATCTCAAAGGTATTCTATTGGATTTAAATCTGTTGATTGCAGAGGTACTCGCTGTTGTGTTCAAGAAACAGGGTTGAGGTGATCTGAGCTATGTTGTGGCATGTTATCCTGCTGGAAGCAGCCATTTGAAAAGGGTGCACTGCGATCAAAAAGAGATAGACATGGTCAGCAACAATATGCAAGGTGACTCATGTAAATAATGCTCAGTTGGGGTTGGTAGTAAGGGGCCCAAGGTGTGCCAAGAAAATTTCGCCCACACCATTACACCACCACCAGCCTGAATATTGGCAGTGGTGAGGCAGAAAGGATTCATGCCTTGATGTTGTTAATGCCAAATCCTGATCATACCATTCAAATGTTGGAGTAAAAAAAAGGCAATTTTTTTCAAATGTTCTATTGCCCAATTTTGGAGAGCTCCCATGAATTGTATTGTTTCTTTCACCCATTTGCTTCCAGCAGGTTTTCTTGAACATGGAAGTAAAGAAGCAGTTCAGCTTAACAAAGTAAGCAGTGCATATATATGTAGGGGGCACCCAGATTTGAACTGGGGACCTCTTGATCTGCAGTCAAATGCTCTACCACTGAGCTATACCCCCATGCACAAATACCAACTTTGTAGACCAGGTGTAAAGAAAAGTTGTAGTGCGCCACAGTCTACAAACCAGGAGAAATTCTATTCAAGGGTTCAAATCATTTTAATTTTTAATTCTGTAAAAATTTATTTCATTAATATGCTTTTTATGGGTTAAGCAAGAAACAGAAAGTAAGACGGTTCACTTATGTCTGTGTGTGAGACTCACCACAGCCTGTTTGTATGAATTTGACAGAATGCCATGGACTCTGACTTGACCATGCCGGACATCATTCATGTCTATCCACAGGTTCTCAGTACGTTGGTCCTCTGGACCAAAGATGCGCCATGTGTAATATTTGCCAGAATCCTCCTTCCATGCAGAAAACAGAAGAGATTAGAGCTTTAAAAGCATGATGTGTGTTGACAGAGTATGTCGCAAAAGGATTAAAAGTTCCCAGAGAACACGGTTAAATAATAAATTTCAGGTGTTGGGCACAGCTTCTCCGTGTAAGCAGAGAAGAGTAAATGCTTCTTTCCAAAAGAGGGCAGTGTTTAACTCCAAGTAAAACAAATACAACCAGGTAAGAGCCAAGAACATATTAAACGCCACAAACCATTACAGTAATAAGGAACACTGTGGTGTATAACTTACCACTACACGTGTCATATTGTCTGGGAGGGTAGTGATGCTTAGTCCTCCACCCAGAACTGCCCTGCTTACTCTAGTGTGGCCCGAAGATGACCTCAGTGTTCTATAAGCATTGCTGTCACCTCCATTAGACTCTTCGTGGTGCTGTGGGACCACACTGTACCAATCATCTGTCCAAAATAATGCATATGATTTTACAGTGCTGCCCTAGTCAAAATGCATTTCAGATTATAAACCTGCTGGTTTCATTTCACTGCCTTCAAAAATAAAATGCACATGAAACACTTCATTTTTATTCAGACTGAAGGTGTTATGGTCATGCTTAGTGCTCAGTCAGTCAGCCAAGCCGGTATCAGCTGTAGCCTTGTCAGTTAAATGCCCTTGTTGAATGAAAATAAATAGGATACAAATAATATTTACTGACGCTCGGAAAGAACTGTCAGACCCTATAAACAAAGAAAACCATACTGTAGTAAGCAAACTGGGGTAGGTAGGACTTGTTTTAAAATTCTGGGTGTTTTAATTGACAACTTGTCTTTCTTTCAAGCCACAAATTCCTGGTTAATTTTAGGTGTTTATTTTAACACCATCCTGTAATTTCTTATGGAGTGTGGAAAATGCATGTCTGCTGGTATGTTTATACTGAGAGTTGGATGTAAACCTGTGGACATCTTTGTCCTTGCACAACGTCTGGAACCAGTGCAGGTCTACACATGAAGCAACACAATGAACAATGTCTCCTCTCAGCTCTAAAGAGTCAGTTCAAAGATAATGGCAAAAATAAATAAATACAATTAAATTTAAAAATGTCTCTAAATAGTCCTTGCATAGTTTGCAGCTGCCATTGACCTGTTGTAGGAGGAAACTGGCTTCATTATGCAGTTCAGATAGTTCACTTTGCTACCAAAGGACCCCCAATCAATCATGTGTTTCTATCATGCTTAACAGATGTTACTAAGTTCTCAAAATTATTTCTAGGCCTATATTTAAGTTCCTCTGTCTTAATCTTTTCCTTTTATGGCCTAGTCAAAATACACTGCTACGTTTTCAGCATCCTAGAGTGGTCTCCTAACTGTTAACCTTGCCTTTGGTGTTTTGTAGGTGCCATCTAATGAATTTCAGTTGTGGAAAGTTTCTCAAAATAAAGTGATTTAAATGTTTTCCTGCTTGCATTTGTCAATCAATTCTGGTTTGAATCAGCTTGCATTGTTTAGTTAGGGGATAACATCAAGGGCAAACCCTTTCGTGCAATATGTTTTGTTTGTTTTTTTGCCAGTTTTCCTGCCTTGAAAAATTAAACCTGGTAAGATACATTCATCTGTCTACAGTCATTGCTCTATTTACGACAGTTGATTGCGGGATTTTTACCTAGATTACGGGACATGACGATGACGTCACGCAGCAGCCTATATAAACCCCCGGCAGTGCCACTTCTTTACGGGGTGTCTCATCTAACCCTAAATGAGGGTCGTCGCCTGTACGTAACGTTTGCTGTTTTGGGCTTTCAGCAAACTACAGGGGATTTTTTTCAAGTAGCGTTGGAATGGTCGCGGGTTATATAAAAAAAGCCAACTTAATCACCCCGTCAAGCTCAGTTTCCTTTCAGAATCACCGTTAATGTATTGCCGTGGTCAGCCTGGCTGCCGCGAAGAGTTCGTCTCTGTTGCTCCGGTGACTTCTTGCAAGGAGTCTTCGCAATTGAGCAGATTAAAAATGAGCAAGGTAACTTGCCGGACCTGCAGTGGTCCGGCTGGGAAACCTACGCTCAAACACTCCGTAAACTAACATTCAAACGCCATAATTTAGGTTGTTACTTAGGTAATATGGACCTGCTTGCTCTCCAGGTCACGCTAATCCTAGCAAGTACTGCTAACTCATCCATGAGCTAACGTGACAGAGAAGCTCTTAAACGTTAACACAGCTGAACTGCTGAAATGTTGCAGCTTCATCGTTAATTGAATTGAAGCTGGGACAATACTGTGCATTTATTTTTCTTTGCAGCAGTAGAAACTAGTTTCAGCTTAAGTCAGGCTAGCCACCTGCAGCCTACACTCTTTTGTATTAGTTATCAAAATGGAAACTGCTAGTGCGTTGGTATGGAAAAGAATGATAGTCATGTTTTAAAAGCAAGCTAAAGCCACCTGTTGCAGTGACTCAGTCTTGCACACCTGAGTTGAATATAGCGTAATGCAGCCTAACATCACAGCTGTGTATTGTAATTTACCTGGAAATTTTAGTACAGATTTTACTGTTTTCAAAAGCTCAGAAAGGGTGTATGTAGCTGAAGAGTGAACTCAATCTGTTCAGTGTAAAACACCGTGTGTGTTGTTTAACTCTTGTTGTGCTCATGTTGTCAAGTCTAATTGAGGACAATGGGAGGGCTCCCTTGCATGCAGACACCTCCCACCCCAGCTTGTGTTAATGAGAAAATTAACAGAGTAGATCTGAATCCTTTCTTGCTGCAGTTTTCCATAAAGAAGCCTCAGCAAAGAAAAGTCAGACAATAATCAGGAAAGCAACATTTATATATTGACTCAGACATTTTCAATTTGGCCATAATTCCGTAACCGAGTTTCAATGGGTGCCAGTACCCAGTGAAGCTCCTCTCTTGCCAGCGAAATGTCAGTTGATGTTGGTTTGATGCCTGCGTTTCTGTCTTGAGTGTGGGAGGAGAGCTCAGGCCTGCTGGTCCCTCAGCTTTGTCTTGTGCCAAACCCCCAGAGTTCAGACTGTGTGGGACACTGGCGAGGCCTGCTTTAAACATCGCTCTGCATTCACAGTTATAATGCTGATGTCTTCCACAGTCACCAAAGCTACACTGTGTCATTTAACAAGTTTCTAAAGTGGCAGCTCAAATGTTTTGACCTCATAGGGAACTCATTGTATTTATGCTACTCTCCACCCTTTCAATCAATTAAGTGCTGCGTCAATGTGTTCGTGGCAGCTTGTATATTACGCCTAGACGTGTGATCGCTGAGCACCAGATCCACCCTGTAGTGGCATCTATGAGGTAAGAGCACAAAGGATGTCTGCAGTGCAGCAGATGGACATATTCTAGTATAACAAAAGCTGGGAGGAGTGCATGTACTGAATATGAAGCTATGATATCTACTTGGGTCATCATGACCCCCACTAGGCATTTTATTGAATTTACTGGCAGACAAAGCAGTGAGATTTGAGTCAGACTCTGCAAGTGAGCTGAAACTGCATAATGCAGTCCAGTCTGCTTGGTGTCTAACAACATTTCTTGGAATAGAAGATTGTGCAGTGGAAGAAAATAGAAACCCCCTTTTCAGTCATGCTTTGAGATTTAATTTCAAGATTCACTTGAACTAATTTGTAACACTGGAATTGTCTTTGGAATTGCAAGATATAGCTATAAAAACTGTTTAGACTAAGGTTAGGCTGATTCTAAAAATTTTGAGCCTTTCATTAAAATGTTTAAACATATGGCCAAACATTTTAGAAAATGAATGGAAACCTAGCATATAAATGTTATTACTTCACAAAAAGACCCACACAAGAAAGGAGGTGCAACAGAGAGAGGATTGAGTAGTGACTGCATCGAGATTTGTTTAGTGCGTCTTTCTGGCTTTGTGCAGTTTCGGGTGATTCCCTGGTTAGAAGGTAATACCTGAGAAAATTAACATTTGCACAGAGTTTGGATAAAAAGATATTAAAGAAGAAAGCCACAACGGGTCACGTATATAGATGGAGTTTGGTCTAACTTGATTATTTAAAAAAAGGTTTGTTTGCTGGGTTAAAGTTTAAAAGAATAAGATAAAGGATAACCAAATAAAAGCCTCATGAGGTAAAAGAGAAACCTTTCCCCCCCCTGCACTAAATAGGCAGATGTTTTGGAATGAAAACTGATCTCTGCCCACTCTTTTAGGAGCTACCAAACCACAACATTTAGCTGCCTTTTTCTGCAAGTGGTCAGCTCAGAGTGGTCTGAGAGGACACACCCTTCCTGTGCAGAGGCTGAAGGATTTGGCATGAAGCACCAAACGTCCCCTGGTTCATTTCAAAGAGCGTGTCTGAATTGTAGAAGTGCAGTTTCAATAGAAAGCACATATTAAACTTGAAGTCTCCCAGTTCTAATGAGATGGCTGATAAGTGGACTCGCTCTCATGTGCTGGCATGCTGTTGCAATAGTTTAATGATTTTAGAGGAACATCCTTTAAAAATAACACCCAGAATATAAAACATGTCAAACGATAACCCCAAGAGGGTGCAACAAATTTCATGTTGAGCCTTTAAAGACAAGAGACAAGTCTTTGTTAAGAAAACAAATGTACTGATTACCTCACTTTTCTTCTGCTATGGAGAAACAAAATCTCTGCGTTCAAGACACGAAAACATTTCTGCTTTTCATTTTCAGATAAGAGAAATGAATTAAGGAGACAAAGCTCAGACCGCAGCTATTTCATATACAAAGCCTTCTCCAAATAACTACATAATTCAAAGTTGCTCAGCTGTTGGCAGATGGCTGTTTTTGTTCCTGCCACTTTCCTAAAACACATCCGTGTTTTGCTATCGCCAGTGACATTACACATGACTTTTATAAAATAAGGGCCTGCAGACAATAACATCCTATCTGTGGCTCAGTCTTAGAAAACAATCTGTCACTTTGTTTCTCTTTCTTGTAATATTTTTTTTTATACTTTGCTCCAAAATGCCTGGATTAACTTCAGGCTATTTGTTAAGCAAACTTCTCAGCAGGACAAATGATGAGAGGCCAAACACTGAGGTCATTTCTGGGTGCACGATTCATTGCACCTCAGGGCTCTGTGCTTTTACAGTCTGGTTCAGATGATGTTGATGGCTTTCGGGCCAGAGTGATTTTTTTTAAAAAGGTTGAACTGTATATAATGTTGAGTGGCAGTGCAGATAAGAACCATTAAGAAAAGGAAAGGAGGATTATGCTAGATCAACAGAGACAGTTGACCCCTAATGTTGCAAGAACACGGAGTCCCTCCTTCGCAACACTATGATGCAGAAGAACTCTCAAACTTTCCGCTGTTTTAATGAAATAAGCTTTCTGATGAGCTCTTTCCCAAGGAAGAAAAAGTATGACCAATTTTCAGTTTATATCATATCTCTTTCTCAGACAGCTGTTTTAGCTCAGGAATCGCTGAAAGGATGAGCTGGGATGCAAAAAGGGAGTTTCCAGAGACTAACCATTCAGACTCCCAAATCAGCTAACATGTTTCCCAACCACTACTCGACATATTTGTATATCTCGCGATGGAAATGCAAACGATAGACTCACGTCGTCCATGCAGCAGGCTCGTAAAAAGTTGTGCCAAACTTGCAGGGATGCAAGAAGAAAAACAAGTCTAAATCTAATTTTAACCTGAGACGGGCTGTTTGTGGGTTGCTGTTTAGACTCTGTCGCATGCTTGTGGAAGAGGGTATTTTTATTGTGCCCTTTATTGTAAACTAGTTCATTCACTTGTTGTGTGTAAAATGAAAAGGGCATGGTATACCCATTTGCTGCTCCATAAAGATTCCTACTGAAGTTCTGTGGCTTAGAGCAAATTAAATTAACACGCAGAGTCGCATGTGCAACATCAGGATGAAAATGTTAAAAACACACATTCTGTAAATAAAAATTGCAAATGTTTGCTTAGCTTTTGAGTAAATGAGAAAACAACTGTTATTGCTAATCATAAATACCAGTGCACTGGCTTCAAAGCATACAGCAAATGATTAAAAACATATATTTGGAGAAGCTGCCAGAGAAAAATCACCTGCAGGCTTAAGCATCTTTGCGACAAAATCAGGCAAAATAAACAAAAGCATTAATGATGATGCATGAAAAAGACACCGAGCTCACCTGTCTGCTGCTGAACCCAAACTTCAGCAAGCTGTGTTTGGGAGAGACAGAGAAATAGCATCACCAACCTCAGACACATGTTTGACCTCAAAAAGACAAAAGCAAAAATGACAGCCTCGTCTCTGCTCCTCTTTTCTCCTCTTTCTCCACTCTCGATCTCACTGCCGGCACACACCACCCTGTTTGTAACTACACCCCTTCTCTCCTCCTCAACGTTGTTCCCCTGCTGCCATGGTGATTGCAAAGACACAGAGATCAGCTCGCTGGGGTCCACAAAAGGTCTGGACCTTGAGTTTGCCTCCTTTCTGTTTATATTAACCACACAGCAACTCTGCTCATTCCTCAGTGAAGTTCTCTGGAATCACAGCATCATTCAGAGAAATAATAAAAGTAAGACCAACAATGGCAGCAGCAGAATGGCGCCTCCCTCTGTCCAAACGGGCTGTGAGGACGGTCAGAAATCTGACATCTTAGATTAGACGTGGCGATCATGATGCTAACAATGCCAGACCTAAAACCTAAACATTGTCATTAACCTTTCGTAGCCCACATGGCACACAAAACTTTCTTTGTAGGAATTTAATTTCCAGCGGTTTTGTAAAAGGCCTGCTTTAGATGACATGCAAACTGGCAAAAAGCAAAGTTTGCAAGTAATGCGGTTCACTCCACCACCTCTCTATTTAATTATCTCTATCTGCTATGCGAGCAAACATGGAATCTTTGACAGGGAAAATGACAGCTGAGAGTTTATTAGATTCACAGCTGGAGAGATAATCAGTACCATGTCTCATAATCCCGATTGTAAACACAGTATACAGCATGACAGCAGCAGGTGGCAGTTTTCACACAGTGACAATGTGAGGACAGTAAATAAACGGATAATATGCATCTTCCAAATTTTCCTCTATTAAAATGTTGGTGTCCATAATATTCACAATGGTTAAAAACCTACTGCATTCACAAGGGGCATCCTGTTATTTGAAACTTACTGCAATTACGTGCAAAGAGGAACTGCTGCCTGCTAAACATCCCTTAGGATCATTTGGGTTCATAGGCTCTCTTTAAACAATGCTGACATACCCATGTGCATTTTAAAAATATTGCTATTGTTTTTATTTTCTGACTTTCAGTTAAAGCTAAAGTGAAGCCTCAGACAGGAACCTTCCAAGCTCAATGGGTATGTTTCATAAAAGACATTTTGACATATCACCTTGGAAAAAAGAAAATAAGTGTGCAAGATTCAATTCAATTTCATTTGTGTAGTGCCAAATCACAGCAACAGTTTCATTAATAATAATACTAAAAATAGCATTATTATTAATAATAATAGAGGGAAAATCTTAACAATTACAGAATTTCCTATGAGCAAGCACTTGGCAACAATGAGAAGGAAGAACTCCCTTTTAACAGGAAGAAATCTCTGGCAGAACCAGGCACGGGTTAGGGGTGAATTGACAGAGACAAGAGAAAAGAAGAGCACAGAGAAACCAGGAATAACAAACAGGACAATTACAAAAGTTAATGACTGCAGCAGTGCAAAATTATTTATTCATGTGCTGTAATTCAAGTAGCTGTAGCAAAATGCTTCAGTTAAATCTGCTTGTGTCACTTGCGTGTGGATTTTTGTTCTGGTCACTTATAGCTTTCTTTGTCAGTTCTCCTTGCTTTGCATTTGCTTTCATTAGTATCACCTGTGTTGAATTATTAGTATAGTTTTTGGTATATATAATGTATGCACTGTTCCAAAACATAAAAGAACATTTAAATCACACATTGTTTCTTGATAAATAAAATATTCTACTTTTATTGACATGGACTGGGAAAGTTCACGAAGACCGAAGACATAATGGTATTTTGCTGTCGTCAGTTATTGGAAACCCTCTGATTGCTGCCTTTGTCTGCGCTCCCATTTCCTCTTTTCAGTTGCCTATCTATTTCAGTTCCTGTTCTCGAGTCCTTGTTTTCTGTCCTGATGGTACTTTTCATGTTTCTAGGTATTTCCTGTGACCTTTTGGAATTTTTAGTTTGGCCTGATATGTTTTTAGTAGTATATCTGTGTTTATTTTAGCCTATTGATTTAAGTTTAAAAGTAACATTTATTTATATAATGCTTTTCAAGATAAGAAATCTCAAAGTTCTTTACAGCAGCATCACTAAAACTAGCTTGTGGAAAGTCAAAATGAGGACACAACCACGAAAAACAGGACATCACAACATTCCAAGCAAGAGATGAACAGTCGAGTCCATTTTTTGAGAACAACTTTTTAGGAGTTTAGCCATGTTTCTTAAATGGAAAAATTAAAAAAGAGCAGGTCAGAGACTTGATGTGAACTTCAAAAATCAAAGATTGATCAAAAATTTACTCAGCTACTTGTGATAGTATGACACTATCACAGTGAACCAGTTTAGTATATGTTAAATACCAGCTACCACAACACAAGGTCCCATGATCAGCTGTATTGAGGGCTTCGCTGAGGTCCAACAAATCAAAGAGTAAGGGGACAAAAAGTCAACCTTATCCTATATATTTGTCCTGCACATGTGTGTATTTCAGTAACTTGAAGGTGGTATATCAGAATAAGTCTAAGAAAAATGTTATTTGGCAATCGAATGTAGACTTGAAAAACATTCCTTACTTGATTGCTCCTGTCAGCATGACTGTTTACAGTTGAAATTTTAAAAAGGACAGAAAAATTGTGGCTTCATGTCTAAAGAAAAAAATCCCAAACTCTGTGGTAGGTAAACATGTGTGACTTAAGACTTACACTGGTTGTTCCTCAGCCACAACGGGTACTTCAAAAATCACAAAGTCTTCAGCTGTGGTGATAGTCACACAGTGCTGAGGTGACCACAGTTTTCACTTCACAAAAAAGTCACTTCTGCACATCAATTTTTTCTTCATTTATGCTGAGTCATTGTTAAAACAGCTGATGATGTTTGCATCTAGAAGGATTGTTGTTGTATGTTTAATAACTTTCCGTGTGATGTTAAACCACGTGATGATCAAAGTGTGTAAGTTTCGTTGTTTTTTTTTTCATTTTCTTTTTCTTTTTGCCTAAATAAATATGCAAACTTACCCCCTTTGTGCTTATTGTCACGAATGTGACGCGTGTTCTTATTCTCGCCGTCCAGTTACAGTGACAGCCATAAATGTAAACTCATTTCTCCCTCTAGCGGTCAGAAAACCGTCTATTATTTAGCGATTAAATACCACGGCTGTCGTCAAAATCAACTCGAATTTAGATTTTCGAGTGATTATGAAAAACAGAATGTCCAAAACGAGAACATAGAATTATTATTATTGTATCTAAAATAGGAGCGGGCCGCTCGTCGTAGCGTGCGGGGGTATAGCTCAGTGGTAGAGCATTTGACTGCAGATCAAGAGGTCTCCGGTTCAAATCCGGATGCCCCCTAAAATCTAATTTTGCTCTTTTGCCAGTGAAAAACGCCACGTTTGTTGTTGAAGTCGTGTTAGTGCTATCGTAACGTTGTAGATTAGGCGCTATTGTTTAATAAACAAGAAAAACGTTATATAGAACAAAGCGTGTCAATACGAAGCTGTCAAGCAGGACGAAAACAGTAAGACCACAGAGAAGATTCGTGAATGTAGTTAAGGAGGGTATACAGAGGGCGGGAGGGACAGAGACAAGGATGGTAAAGACAAAGGAAGCCAAAGGTAAACAAGCGTTAACAACCTCATCACTTATTAAAATAACAACACACACATAGCAATAATAACATTTATTTTAAAAAAATCAAACTATACAGTATGTACATTGCAAAATTATGACTCATAGCAGCTAGCGCCTTCTCCCATTCAAGAAATCGCTGTCATATACAGTACACAGTCCAAGAGCATTAAAAAAAGAATAAATTAATATAAATATTCAGGTTTAATAAAGCTAAAATCATTTGCTGGCGTTAAATTAAATTTTAACATCAGATGCAGGCTTGTAGGCTTTTGCAACATTGCAGAAATCCTGAGAAGGAAAACCACAGCAGCTGCATAATGTTCTTTTGTTTTTTTTCTTTATAGTCTTACTGTTTGCTGGTAAACTGTGATGAATCAGTAGTTTGTGAACTAAGAACAAAAATCTTCATTTATGAGAACTAAGTCAAAATGAAATTATGATTGTCTTGTTTTAAAGCGTCTGTGGAATCACTGGATCAGTTCTAGAAAATCAAGATACTAATAGGAAAATATATGACTTAGTGTTATAAATCATTGTCCTTTGTCAACCTGCCTTGTTGTTTTCCTTTCTAATAATAAAATAATAACATTTTAGTCACTCTTGACAGTTAAAGTGGAATGTGATACTTCTGGTGAGGTAGGATAATTTGCCCAAACATTGTTCTCATTTACACACAGGCCACTTATGTCAATACATTACTAACACTTTCTCTCCCTCAGTGCACAACCTCCAGATTACTAAAATATAATCAAACAGTTTTTGAAGGTTGTCTGTTGTCATGTTTCCGAGGCTGAGGTACACACAACGCAGGTTTCTTCAAGATGTCACATTGTCAGTAAGTCATACTGTAGACATGGTGAGGCAGTTTCTGTCACAGATGTCGTGGTCACAGGCTCAAAACACTGTAAATAATCCTGACACTGCGGCCTTTGCGGCGCCCGAGAGGCTGGTTCAGTTTCAGGACTTTTAATCCATTGTTTTCTTCTAGTTTGCCACAACCCGCGACTTCATCCAGTCCAGACTGGCAGGTAGACTGCAGGGAGAGATCAGAAGCATTTTGATAAGTGTTTCAAAGGCTGTTATTTCAACAGAAGCAGTGGTATGCAGAGGCATGTTTCTGTTAGCTACGTCACATATTTGTGAAGGGTGAGTAATAGTCGGTGATACTGAGAGCTGGAGGTGCGTTAGACTCACCCCTCTCCTGTCAGGGCGCAGCAAGCTTGAACATGCCAGGAGTGTGTTGTGATGGAGTCGAGCGTGAGGAACTGGGAGATCTCTGCCGCTGTCAGGGAACCCTTCATGTCCTGTTTGTTGGCCAGGATAAGAACGGCTGCATTCTGTAGGTCCTAAAAAGAATTTAAAAATGGGTTACCGATACCGTGTCTGCACTCAGGTTCCACTGGAAACACGTGATGTTGTTCAAAACAAACAGCAACCTCAGCGGAACATAGAAACGCACAGACACGCTGACTATAAGAAGAAAGTTCCTCATCACAGTATGTCATGGGTGAGTAATCTGCTTTCACATCTATTACGCAATCAGTGTCTGTCTGAAAGCGGGAGGGAACGTCAAACACCAAAACACAAATGCCAAAAGAGGGCAGCTTAACAAAACAACAATGTGATTGTACATCAAAGCAGCTCTCAAAGAAAACAGGCAAAACACTTCATATTTAAACAATAAAGCAAAGTATGATCAACCCTCCTCTACCTGTTTATCATCCGTAAGCAGTATTCAAATATGTTAAAAGGCACTTTTAATATAGTTAGGACCAAGTAACTTCCCTAAATGTTTTAATAAAGTCAGTCTCTACGCTATGTTTTAAAGATCCTACCTCATGTGCGAGCATTCGGTGAAGTTCTTCTTTGGTTACAGTCAGTCGTTCCCGGTCAGTGCTGTCCACAACCAGAATGACGATCTGAAAGGGAAATAATAGTTATTAAACCTGTTATAAGGTCGTTCTTATCAGGACCCAATCTATAGGACGCTTGATTCATAAGAGGGAGCACAGCATGTCTACAATACTCTATTAAAGATACAGTACCTGTAAAAAATGGATCACAGGAAAAGTCATAAAACAGATGCAGGTGCATTAGCAGCCAGCACTTCAAAAGCTTTCACTTTCTCTGGATTTATTTTGGGAACTGCTAATATCACTTCCAATGCACTTCAATGAAAAATTTACTGTGTTTTAAAAGTTTTTTAGAGATAGAAAGGATCTGAAGAGTGTAGGTGAGCCATACCTCTGTGTTGCCATAGTAGGAGTACCAGCTAGCTCGCAGGCTCTCCTGTCCTCCGATATCCCAAACCAAAAAGTGAGTCTTCCGAACGGTGATCTGTTCGACGTTGCTGCCAATAGTTGGTGATGTGTGGACGGCTTCTTTTGTCAGACTAGATGTATTTGAAGAAGGGAAAATATGCATTTAGAATTAGATTAAACTGTGAGAACAGATTTTAAAAACTGCTGAAAGACTCAGAAAGCAGTCAGATCACTCACAATTGATAGAGGATGGTCGTCTTCCCAGCATTATCCAAACCCACAATGATGACTTTGTGCTCTGTAGGAAAGTTAAACATGTTAAAGTTGCATGCTCACTGCAAATTCAGCCTCAAGGGATAATTGTACACACAGATAAGATAAAAGGCAGGTACATGAGGGTGATGTGCTGAACAGATTCACATCTCTTATCAAAAGACTGTTCTTGCAGTAAAACACGTCCAACACTTGGTTTAAGTGTCGTATATAAGAAAGGACTGAAACTTTACTGTGTCAGGAAATCAGATTTTAGTAAGGTGATCAAACATTAGAGTCAAATTGTTTTTCACAATTATCACATATTACCCGATACAGTAGCTTAACACACCGACGGGCTTTTATAATTCATCTAAACAGCAACAATGCAGGCATAACAAGACGAACACAAGAATTAAAGCACATGTACCTTTGTCCCCGAACACAGCCATCATCTTAGACAGCAGATATCCCATGTTCAACAGGTGTGAGTGCTAGATGAGCGATGAATACAAAAGAAATCCAGAGGAAGCAGACTTCAGTATCGATTAGAAGCTGACTGTCAGACTGACTCTGCTGCGGGATCTATTATCAGTTTCTGCCTCGGCATACCATTTGTGGGCGGCGCTTCCTCCTCAGAAAGTCTTCATTTTTTGCCGAGTGAGTCACGAGCAGCGTAGATAGTAATGATGGTGCGTTCAGTGTTGTGGGGAATACAAGACGTGGGCCGGTGAGGGATTCGCCAAGGGCTAGATTATCCACAAAGTAAGTTGGGGTTTGTGTGGGACGGTGTGGGCTATGTTACAGATGCAAGTGGGTAGGCTGTTTTTTCTTTCCTTTTTTTTTTGCTTAAATAATTGTAAGTTAAAGATTTTGCTCAGATGAGATTTTCCCAACATCTTAAAAGCATCACTGGAAGACTGAGATTGTTTTGGAGTCATGTGTGGTTGTCTTTGTACTTTCACACATTTACTTGCTTGTGTTTTAGTAGGGATGCTGTCACAGATCAGCACATACCTTTTTGTTGCACGAGTGTGAGAGATGTGTTCACTATTATATAGAGCCAATTAAATTGTGAGACGCTGACTCCATAATTGAGAATATTAGTGAAATACTGGGCTGTACCAAATAAATGGGTCACCCTGGACAGAAATATTGTCCTAGCTGTAATACAATATACCCTGGCATTTCTATATTCTACTATATAGAATTTTATTTATTCTACCCTCATTTTAACAAAGTGGAAAAAATATAGAAATAGCAGCCGCCCTTGCCCATAATTTCCTTTGGGATTAATAATATTTCTGATTCTGATTCTTTGTATATGTGATTATTTACTTTGGGGTAATAAAGTAATTTAAGGCATTTAAGATTTTATTGTTTTGCTTTGTTTTTATTTGGGCCAAATATTCTAAATATATTTTAAATGTCTCCCAAATCGCTTTCTTTGCCCCGTTCATTGTGTAGTGACCTCTTTATCAGGTCTATAGAAAACTACTTGTGCTCCAAACTGAGGAAGAATATGTTTGTAAAAGCCGAATAAGTACCGAAAAATCCTAGATAAATCATCGTTCGTCATCACGAGATATTAGCGTACATTAAATGCAATTTATTTACCTCCTTAAATATCGAAAATCTGAGCTCACCTATAGTCCCTGAAGGCAACCTACAAGTCCTGCCACACCGACGGCACGAGTGGGATAATGACGCAGTCGGTGACACGCGTATGTCCGGTCTATATATGGAAAGAGAAGTAAAACTATGTACCTTCCTTTCTGAGAAACCCAAGAACTTATCGGCCTGTAAAAACCAACAGAAAGCAAAACTGGCTTCAAACAAAGAATTCCCCGGGATTTCCACTGAACCGTTCAAGCAATTTTCTATCAGTTCTACTCTCAACTCTCCAGTTACACAATCACAACACTGATGACCTCTTTGCATATTAGGGCCTCTGATCTGACAGATTTGTCTTAATTTCAAACCCATAAGAGATTCAGTAATGAGGCATACTTATATTCACCTCAGTCAAAGTATTGTACCTGTATTTATTTCCCTATAATTTATTTATAGCTTGAAGTGTTTTAAGTGAAATTAATTGCCAGGTTTCATTCTGGAAATGAATGTATATTGAAGGTGAAAGGCATTTTCTTTAGTTTATTGAGGTAAAAGTAATCACATAAGCACACTTTCTCATCAGGAATACAGTTATGGTATCTGTTATCATCATCATCATCATCATCATTTTTATTATTATTGTGATTATTACCGCTGCACATTTCTTTTCCACTATAATTAAGTATTTAATGTTACCTTATCACTCTCCAGTATTTCTGTTTGCTACATTAAAGGATCTACGATGTGATTTTTTTAAATTAACTCGCATGTCAGACAGTATATACTTGAAATTAACTCTGCTTTATAACCGTGATATGGTCCTTATTGTTAATACAGATTTTCAGATAACAGTCATCAGAAACACTTTGAAAGATGTCATTCCACATGTGTACACTTCAAAATCTGAAGCAGTGATACTGCAGATAACTTTTTGTGTTTTTCTTTAAAATTATCCTGCTTTAACTATAATAATGGAAGTTTACCCTTAGTTTTAGTTATACATGCAAACATGTGTTACATATTTGTTCTGTCCCGTTCTGTCAGTTTTTAGCAGTTTGTTATTACAGTCATTTTGACCCTGTTGAGCAACGCTCTGATGTAAGTCTCACATTTCGATTTACAGATGGAAACCGTGTCTTAGGTCTGTGACAGTTCGTCCTGTGCAGAGCATCAGCTCGACGATGACAAAAACCACATCCTGGAGTGAGCCAGCTGCACTTCATAACTGCACTTCAGAAAATGCAGGTGTTTTGAAATGTGCTGCAATTTGATACGAGTATTTTGGAGATTACGTTTCTGTGAATACAAAGTGAAACTGTTTTTTTTATTCTCAGAATCTGTCAACATTCTTGTGGCTCATTGTTTTGCAGGTTTACACCCAGCAGAAGTATGGGATAGTTTCTACATTCAGGGTGGTGTTGGCTTTTTTTTTTAAAATAAGACAGTCATATGAAAAAGCTTAGTACAACCTGATGAATCAATAGCTTGTATAACTACCTTATAATGCAGAGTAGTTGTTTTCAGCACGACTTTGTTAGTCTCTTGCATCATTATAGAGAAATTTTGGCCCACTCTTCTTTACAGCCTTGCTTCTGCTCATTGGGGTTTGCAGGGATTTGTTTTTGCACAGCTTTTTAAAGGCCTTGATTCAACAAGTCGATTCTGTTCCTTTTCAGGCATTTGCTACTGCACTTGGGATTATTATCCTGTTGCATGACCTTGTTTGGTCCAACGTGTAGCTGTCAGACAGATGGCCTCACATTTGTGTCCAGAATATTTTCGTATACAGAGGCGGTCATGGTTGGTGCCCAGGTCGTGTTGCTGCAAAAACAAAATAAGCACAGTTTCCCCCTCCTCCACCACTGTGCTTCACAGTTGCTATGATGTTTTTGTGCTAAACCGGTGGTGTGCATTATGGGTAAACATTCCCACATTGGTCCCATCTATCCAAAGGTCATTATTCCACAACTCTTGTAGCTTGTTCAGATTCATCTTTGTGAAGCTATGATACTGTGTTCTTTTTAGAGAGAAGAGGCTTTCTGATTGCGACCTTTCAATTCATACCCTTCTTTATTCTAATTCTAATTATTCTATGATGCACTTTAGCATTTAGCATTGCTAACAGAAGCCTGTCAAGTTTGAGATGTAGCTCTTGGGTATTTTTCTGACATGGGGCAAATTTGTTGAGACATCCATTCCTGGAGAAATTGTGGCATTGTGTTAACACCCAGCTGAATGCTCCAGACCAGCAAACTATCAAAATATCTGCTTCCACAGAGGTGCTGATGATTAATTAATTAAGTGCATTTGATTAGCAGTACCTGGCTGCTACTTACCCTCTTAATTCCTATGGAAGCAGCAAGCCTGTCTTTTGCTTTTCATATCAATTTTGACTAATTGTCATGTAATTTATTGAAAAACAAATCTACTCTATGATTTGTATTGAACTATGTGTTCACATGTATCCAGTGGAATAAACAACACGACGCAGACATACACGTGCAGACATTTAGCATTTTTGACAGCTGTTTTTGTTCATCACATCTCACTGTAACAATGAAATGACACAATGGCATTTTCTTATTCGATTTTTAATTAAAATACGAATTTATCCACAGATTAAAAATGAAAGGCAGAAAAAGCAAAATGTAGCTACAATCAGGCACCAATGATACATGTTATTTCATCATTTTAACAATTGCGATAACGCAACAATAACATTATTTACTGATCATTATTTAATATTTATTTATTCAACTGAAGACGGGGGTGGGCCAAAGCAGCCTACCAAAGACATTCATGGATTCTCCATTATAGATAACTGTGTAAAGACCAAAGCTGATCCTATCCCCCCCCCACTGCCCACTTTATACTCCTCTCACTAGCTCACAAGAACTGAAGATTGAAAAAAATAATGCAAATGTTCACTGAAAAAAACAAAAACCCAACACTAATTCAGTCAGAAATCAGGAGTAAGAAGAGAGTGGTATTTAATATTAGACAAGCGAGCTGTTTGGGTGGAAGTTCGAAGTGATTAACCACACGTACAAGTACTTTTTATATAACTGTTAGCCCTGAAAAACAGACGACGAAGCTGGTGCAAAGAAAAAAGAGATGAGCAACGAGCTGGGACGGAGCAGCCACGAGACACAAAGAGACAGAGATATGGTATGAAAACGAGTGTAACAAGAGTTAAGACATCCCACCGCAGCAGCGGCGGACATGGCTTGGCGAGACATTCCGGCACTTGTGATTGGAGTTTTCTTGAAATAAGGGGTGGGAGTGACTAAGGCAGGACGTTTCGTTCACACAACTACTTTGAATCTGCACCACATTTGGAAACCAGAGAACAACTGGAGGTGCCCTCAGCACCCATGAAGAAGAGGATAACAGAAATGGGAGGACTGGGTCAGACATATACAGTCAGGTATGGTGACTGAACCAGGTCAGGGAAGAAGTAAACATCTTTGGAGTGTATTATTCATTGTTATCGCACTGACATGAGTATAGCAACATTGATAAATTTACGTGCTAAAATATGGCAACTTCTCCACCAACTTTTTAAGGTCTGGGTGATAAGAAAGTGGAGGTGAGAGACTCAAAACTTCTGGATATCAGTATGGGAGGAAACCCTGAAAGCCAAAAGCACTGAGTGAGCTTAAGGTAAAGAGAAACCCTGACACTGTACGTACATGGGAACCGTGACATTAGACCCTGTTTAAGACTGCAGAGGACAGACGTGATACACTACGGCTCTACCGACCTTTGCACTTTACAATCGAAGAGAGGATCGAATCATACAGATCAGAGTCGTAACAATTACTGTCCTTGTGCTGTGAGTATAGAAATCCATGATATTCATGCAGTATTAACATAAGAAACAAAAAAGACCAATATTATTTTTTCTAAATGTAAATAAACTGAATTACAAGAAGAACTTGATGAGAATGGCATCTGGCAGTTGATGTATTTCTTTACATTGTACTGGGATGTAAACAGATTTTTTTGTTAGCCTGACCGGCATGGCCCCAAACCTACACTTCAGTTCCTGTTGAACCCAAAAACCAGAGCATTTCCCCTCCATCCCCTCCTCTCCCTCTGTCCTCAGTCTGTCCAGGGGCTTCCTTGGCTCTGTGGTATGATGACCGTTCAGCGGATGTAGACGTCCCTCCCCCAGTCATCCTGGTTCTTGTTGCGGCTCATGTTGGCCCCTGTGTCCACAGGATCCTGGCAGTAACGCTCCCTCAGCTTGGCACGTCCATGCGGATGCGTCTGGCTCGGCATCGGAGGGTGGTTTCGGTTTTCCTGGTCTGGCTCGGCACCTTCGTCTTCCCAGGAGGCTTGTCGGCCGAGATGCTGCGCCAGGTGGAGGCGGCTGCCCCCACTTCCTCGGTAGGGCTCAGGCTCCTCATAGGGGTCGGTCTCAATGTCCATGCAGGAGTCACCGGCCTCGGTGTAGGCCGAGTCCCGGCTGCCCTGGGTCTCCGAGTCGAAGGTGTCTTGCCGTGAAAGACCTCGCCCGCTGCCTCCTCGTAGCTGGCCACGAGAGGAGCGCAGGTATGCTTGCTGCTGGTGCTGCTGCTGGGGCTTCCCTCCCAGGTCTGTCTGATAGTCATGCAGCGTGCCGCTCCCACCACACTCTGTCAGAGGCCCTTCCCGCTTCTGCTCACCATGCACCAAGTACGCCCCCTGCAGCGAGCCGAACCCATGCCACACGAAAAGCATGCAGAGACACAAACAGCACACCAAGGTGTCAGCAGTTAATTAGCAGGGTTAGCAGACAGGGCAGAAAGAACAAAGATGCATACTTGTTCCAGCTTAAGAATCCATGACTTTAAAGGCATTAGTGCTGAAGATACTTATATGAAACACATTCCACATTAACATTGTGCATACACACACTAGTCTATACTCAAACAACACAATTTAATCAGTAAGTAGAAATTGTTTAGTTCTGCTAATTGACTGTTATAAAATGATGATATCAACCTACAAACGAAAACAGATCCCAGCAACTTATAAAGAAGCTAAACTATATATCTACAATTCCAATAGTGCCATCTGCTGGCTGTTTGAGCTCATGGCAGAACAAAGCAGCAAAATGATATAGCTCACATGTTTATCCTGAAACAGTTTTCCTTAAATTTAAAAATTCAATCCAGTTTGAATCTTTTTTTTTTAATACTTTTCATTCATTTTTGTCAAGGATCCCTGCATAATTGTGTCCATTCGGTGCAAGACTGTCGCTTGTGTGCCATGTAATTCATCTGACAGCATGCATGCTCATGTTAGCTGATAAGGAGCCAGTAGCAACTGAAGAACAGAATGAAAACTGATTAGTATTTTGCTCTCACTCTTAAGATAAATTGATTAAACCGGACAGAGTGTTAGCAACAGCCTCCACCAAACTAAGCGTTTCTATTTGAAGAGGCGGACATGACTTGCTGTTTTCAGGGGTGGTACCATGGCAACAGAGAGGAGGACAGCAAACTGGATTTCAGCCTCTAGAAGCGCTGAAGAAAAGGAGGCCACAGAGCTCCAGAGGGCAGGGTGGGGGCAGCAGACGCTATTTTACGTCTGATTACAGTAAAATAGAAGGGATTGTGGGGGCAGAGGTACCTTCTGAGGTTATTCCTTGAGTCCAGTGTGCTTTCAGCTGAGCTGTTTTCACAGTTTTAAACGGTGCACAGAAGGAAAAGCTGACCTGCTAACATGCAGACTACATCATTTTTACTCGTAGGTGTTCTTAGGCTAGCTGTTCATGTGTGGAAAATTGGATCCTTGTTGGTTCATTTGGGTGTTAATTTCTTGCACAGATGTATCTGCGGTTTCCTATATACAGCATAAACAGGCTATTAGTGCACTCCTACTCCAGGGTAAAAGGAACAGGCTGCTGAGTTTGGGTTGAGTTGCCGGAGTCGCCCCCCACCCCCCTGTGCTACTGGACTTCAGAGAGCATGTTCTTCCTCTTTCCCCTCAGTGGCTACAGTGCCGTCCATGTCAGGCCACGGATCCATATTTCTGCGCAGGGAGGTGAGGACCTGTACCTGTAGGTTGGAGACGGGCTCTGGGGAGGCAGCCAGGGCTGCCGTAGCCATGGTACGATTCAGCAGAGGGTTGGGAGGGTTGCTGCTTGGAGGGTGTGTTGCCTTCCAGTAGGCTTCAAGGTAGTCAGCCAGGTGTTCGCAGGCATCCTCCAGCTGGTTCTCATCCAGGATGATGTCAAATAATTCCTGCAACAAAAAACAGCTCTTCATTTATTTCACTGTACCAAAGTGAATTTTCCTTCTGTCTTTACATGAATTCTAGTATCAGCCAATTGTTTTATCACAAAACCATCTGCTCCGCCTTTCAAGACATCATATGTAGAATGCCTCAGCATTTAAGCAAGTGGTAACTCTATCTGAAAAATTATGCCAGTGGTGAGAAAGGAATTAGTAGCCATTTGAGGCTAACCCAACAAAAGAGTCAGGCATTCAAAAAAAAGGTATTAAAAAGCAGATTTACGGTTTGCTGGAAAAAACTGTTTATATCTAGCTTTCCCTTTCATAACAGCTGTATGGTATTTTATTTTATTTTATTGAAGTCACTGTTCCCCCTCACCTGAATTCTAATGGGGAAGTTCGACTGTAAATTACACTAATTCATACAGTTTGATAATGAAAAACTTAAACAACCATATTTCTGATCAGTTCTTTCAGTGAGAGTTCAACCGAATGTAGTTATTCGGTTCACTGCAGTTTAGTGCTTCTGCAGATATCATGGCAACCAGCATCACAGGGGAAGACAGTGAATGATGTGGCCTATGGAGGTCAGCGTTTTCAACTTTTCTTTAAGCCTAGGTAGCATGTGCAGCTAGTTTTAAAGCAAGACCCTACTTGAAAATTGCAAAAGGAGCGGAAGTACGTTGTGGATATGTGAGCTCACAGTCAACATGAGTTCATTAAGCCACTTCTGAACCTAAAGAAAATGCCTCTCCATCTGTCTTCTGTTTTGCCTCTGAATTCTACAAGATATTTTTGGCATTTTTATAACTTGTTTTTTTTATAAATATGCAAACACCACACACTTACATCCAACCTAGAGTAAGTTAGGTGTCACCAATTAATTTAACAAGCATGTATTTGTATTGTTAGAGGATGCAGAGAACATGGAAACTCCAAACAAAAAGGCAAAGCTGTGAGGCAGCACTGCTGACTACTGAATCATCGTGCCGCCCTTAGAACCCGCTCGTTCAAAAAAACTGATATGGAGGTGGACAGAACTCAAAATGCATTGTCCTAAACCAATGGCTGACACAACAGCCATATACAGACTATGGTCTCTATGCTCCTCCACACACAGCGACAGGGAACCAGCTGGGATGATGACTAAATATTACTCAAGACAGAACGATCAGGTCTATCGTAAAAGCATAACAGGCAGCCTGTTAAGGAGCGATTCTATAGCTCTGTGCCAAAAATGTATCATTTGTTAGCAAAGCCTGAGAGTAGCTCATTTATTGCTCTGTAAAATCATGTCAAAGTCCGCTCATGTAAAGATAGATGCATAAGTGGTATTCTGTAAAACCGGAAAGTACTGTGATATAAATTTTTACATCTTTTCCTGAAATCCATCCAAGTAGGTTTTATGCCTAAACCCCCAAAAAACTGTGATGGAAAAAGCACTTGCCAAGTGCTTGCTCATAAGGTGTAGTCTGATTGTTATTTTTATAGGGCCCCCACTCAGAATAAAAGCAGCCGTTGCTGGATGAGGGGCAGTATAAATAAAACCGAATTAAACTGAATTGAGGGCCTCGAACCTGTCTTCTTTCAGCTGTTAATCGTCAGATACCGTTGGAAAATAATCCCAAAGGGGTACTTGATGAGTTCAAATTCATTAGACTGGGTGAAATTTGACTGAGTGTCAGGGTGTGATGAGCCGGGGATGAGAATATGTTAAAAAAGCTCAAGTCGCAAAGCAAAACTCACAGGTGGGCACTGAGCCAGCTTGTCTGCTGCAACCATCTGCACATTTAAGTGTTTAGCCTGGGACTTCCCTCTGGATTTAATGAGCCTCTGGAGAACCTGCAGGGAGATAGCAGAGCACCGTGTCTACTGAAACAATATTTACTGCTATCAGAATCAGAAGACGGTAGAGTCATTCCAAAATTAAGTATGAAAATCGGTTTAAATGAATGAATGAAACAGGCATACCTTAGGGGAAGCTATTTTGATATAAACAATGATGGGAGCCAGGGAAGTCTTAGCCAGTTGAGAGGGGTGGTTAATGGTGTCGGCATCCAAAGCAACAAGCTGGAGAGTTCGGGCCAGCTCGAAGATACGCTCGATCTCACTCTGCACCTCAGCTGAATGCCCAGGAAACAGACAAGACACGTGAATACAGTGAGACAACGAAACAGATACATGATCTCTGTTTGAGGAGTTAAAGCACTGCATGTGAGCCAATCTCCCTTAATTTTGTGCACAAGTACATAACAGACGTGTTAGTTCTTACTCATGCATGTCGGAGTTAAGAGGAAAACAAAACAGCTCCAAGCGTATGAATCAGATCGGACCACAGTTAAAAGTTCCATTTATGCACAGCTAAATGGAGCGCTCCAACATCCTCATTCTCCTGCCCCCTCCTGACATTTCAGATATGTATTTAATGCTTTTTTAAAAGGTGCAGAGAAAGGAGGCACTTAAGAATGAGATGCCTGTGGTACTTGAAATAACTTACAATAAGGGCACAATTTCTCACCATGTAACTAAAACAGAAACATCAACGACAAAAAAAACAACCAAACAAAAAAAAAAAACCAACCTCATTAAATAGATGAAGTGGAACATTAGTTGTTTTGTTAGCACTAATAGGCACAGCGGTAATTATACTATCAGGTGCACCACTCAAGGCTGTAGAATGCTGAACGTTGTGTTCATTGTTCCTCAACAGCAGCCTATAAAAGCTGGTTATTTAGCATTTCGAAGACAGCTCCACCTTTTTATCAGCCTGTCGACGTGTAAGGAGCAAGATTAAAACAGAAAACCAGAATGTTCCTCATCTGTCTGGTCAACCCTCAGCGCCTCCGAGGTGTCTGTGCGCTGCCAACCCAAGTGGCAAAGAGAGATAACAGGGGCAAGGCAATCTGCACAGAGACGTGGCCCGCACATTTCAGCAGCCTCCAGAGGGCTAAAGGATAGAGAATTAAAGCCGGAGGCGAAACGGGGTCTCTGCAGAATGACAAGAGACGTGAACTTTTAAGTTGTACAAAGAAACAGCAGCCAAGGTTTCCATTAACCTCGACAAAGCCTTCTGCGAATTTGGATTTAACTTCAGAGAGACGTTTGCTCCCCCGTGATGACAAGAGTGAATTTAAAAGGCAAGGTCCAGCTGCAATAGATGCTATCCTTGGGTATGACTGAAGATAAACAGCATTATGAGTCACAACATAAGGGTGACAGCAGGATGGGAGAGTATCGTCTTCCCTCTCTGCTACCAGCCGCTCTGCTGCCCTCCCACGGATCTCTTCCTGCTTGGGTTTTGTAATTGGTTTCTTTTTGTTAAGAGACTACAGGCTGTCACACAGAAGTATGAGGAACAGAGAAACTGACAGGCAAGCAGACAGGCAGACAACGATGTATGAGCAGATGATGAATATAGTTAGAAGAAAAAGGGGAGGGGAAAGAAAGAGAAAGAGATGCTTCATTGTTTTGTTGCGGGAAGAGCATACGTACCCAGTACGTCTGAATCAAAAGACAGAGGAGGAAGAGGATGGGTGGTGGGAGAGAAAGGGGGGAGGATGGGTGTAGACAGGATGAAGAGAGAGAGGAGGCCAGATCAGACTCAGGCAATCAGAGCAGGTGTAAAAAGAAAATAAGTGACAGTCTCGTGTCTTTGGATGATACACCTCAAACTTGAAACTGAAGTACGTTAACTGCTAGAACTGATCGTTAGTAATTATCTAACCTAAAATATTCCGATTTATCATGTATACATTTGAAAGAAAAGTCCTCCATGTGATGTCACTGATAACCACACCTCTGACAACACAGATGCTGAAATGTTTTTCTCAAACATTCAGCTTCAAGAGCTTCATTTTGTGCTTGAATACAGACAGTATGCTATTTTACACATAGTCTTAATGTGTAAAGCTTAAAAGATATTAAGTCTGAGGATTTTCTACATTTGTCTTTTTATTAAGAAGTCAAATAAAAAGACTAAACCCAGCTACAGACTGATCCCAATTTTAAAAAGTCTGTCTTTAAGTCTTTAAAGTTGATATTTGTATGAAGAAGAGTGTGACTGTTGTCTAAAGCAGCGGTCCCCAACCTTTTTGCGTCACGGACCAGTTTATGCCCGACAATATTTTCACGGACCGGCCTTTAAGGTGTCGCGGATAAATACAACAAAATAAAACTCGTACCGGTACCGAAAAAAAGAAGATTTATTCATAATACACGTGAAAAGACCCAGGAAAACCGAGTTAACGATAAAAACGATAACAAAATAACGCTGAAAACCGATAAAAACCCTGAAAACCATGCATTTCACACCTGAGCCTCAACTCTCGCGGCCCGGTACCAAACGACTCACGGACCGGTACCGGTCCGAGGCCCGGGGGTTGGGGACCGCTGGTCTAAAGACTATAAGTTATAGCTCACCCCATAATCAAATATATTAACTTGTGTAGTGCCTGCAGTGCTTTTTATTTATCTAGGCCATTTCTCTGTGAGCTCCTCAGATCTCAAGATACCAGCCCTTGTGTGTGATGCTTACCTGTTATCGCCAAGGTAAATTGGCCATAGGTATGAGGGTGAATGATTGTTTTTTCTCTGTGTCAACCTTATGACAGACTGGCACCTTATTCAGTTGCCCTATGACAGCTGGGATACGCTCTAACCCCCCAAGACCTTGATTTGGATAAGTGGCAGATGGATGAACGGATAGAAGTTCTAAAAAATGCTGAAAAGCCCAATGATCATATGACACCGTATGAGCAAGCATTTAGTGACAGTGGAGAGTAAGAACTCCTTTTTAACAAGAAGAGGCCTCAAGCAGAACCAGGCTCAGAGAGGGGCAGCCATTGGCAGTTGGCATTTGTTTGTGCACAGCTTGTTTAAGGCACCGGCGGGATTTCAGTCAGGTGGAGGTCTGGACTTTGACTGGGCCACTGCAACACTTTTATGCCTTTTCGGTCATTCTGTTGCATGCCCTGATTTTGGCCACCCGTTAGCTGATGGCAGATGGCTTCACATTCGACTCTAGACTTCATGATCGATTCAATCACTGCCACCACTGGTGCTTATGGATTTGATTAGCAGGATCTGGCAGCTACTTTCCCTCCTAAGTCCTACATAAGCAGTATTTTCACATGACTGTAGATAAAACTGCTTATAACAAGACTTCTGGTCATATTTTGGGAACTGGGTCATGATTGAGGGAAATTTAAGCTGAGTGCCATCTAGTCTCATTATGTGCAAGCGAGGGCAGACACCTTTAAAATCTTAAAAACTGGCAAATCACCATAACAACCTAGATGAATAATTGGCACTACGGACAAGAGGAAAATATGTAAATGTGATTTTGGGGTCAGTCATCCCTTTAATAATTTATAAGTCAGCTTGTGTGAGATATGTCCACACACAGAAACACACTGTCTTTTTGATCAGTCCAACATTCCCTGTGTGGCTGATATAAAATAGCAAATGCAATGTTTCTCCTGTTTTAGTAACATTTGCTAAAAATGTAATTTCCCAGCTGCTGTTGAGTATTTAAAAAACAACAACAACAACGCAATATTAATGGACTCTTGTCTGTCTAAATAAAAGAGAGACACACTTAAAGAAATATAGATATGAAGGACAGTGAAAGATGTTCAGTAACATGATGTGATGAACAAAAATACATTACACTAACATTCTCCCTAAACTTTAATATGTCAGCTGTTGAAAGAGTAAAAATAAAATCCTAATTGTCATGACCTGTCTGCGTTGCGTTTCTCAGTGTGATTCTGCCTGTTGTGGTTTGCGGATAACAAAAGCGTCCTCTTACCCAGGCTCGAGCGGGTACTGGAGCGCTCAATGATAGTGTGTTTGCTCGGGTTGTTGAGGACTGAACGTTTGGCCAGAGAGATGTCTGCTGTCACCCGTGTGATGGATATCCTGAAACAGAGAGCCAGCACATTACTGGGTCAGTAAAAAGAAACCTATTAAATTTAGAGTCTATCATGGCTGCAAGGGTGTGTCTAGAGGGGGGAGGGGCATGGAGTGACACAGAAATATGATTGGCCTCCCTTTGTACAGACTAGCGTACTGTTCATCTTTCAATCCTCAATATCAGTGGATGAAGGCATAAATAGGACATCTAAAGTAACTACGAACACTTACTCATATACAGTTTTACTGTACTTTTATTTTATTTAAAGGGCTGGACAAGATGTGCCTAATGAAGTGGCTGGAGTGTATATGATTATGGATAATCATTAAAAAACAAAAATCCTGGATGGGTGTAAGCCTCCATTCTTACCTGCCCTCAAACTTGTGTTTCAGGAAGTCAAAAAGTGCTTTCTGCATCATGTCCGTCACCTAGTAAAACATCAGACATCAGAAACAAGTAATATTTAATAGTAATATCCAATGAAAGTAGAAATTAGAAGCCGAGAATGCGCTGCTTCTTCTTACTTCATAGCCTTTGAGTGAAGGTCCGACTAGGACGATGGGCCTCATGGAGGGAACCACGTCGTAAGGGGGGACATGCTCCATCTGAGCATGGACAACACAGCACGTGAGTTGGTGTCACGTTATACACTCAGCACATTTCCAAAGACCTTAGAAGACCTGCAGTCACAGGGTTATACTCACACACAAATCAACATTAACTTGACACAAAGCAGCCCCACCCACTCCCCATAAACCCTCCTTCTCTTCTGTGAGCAGTCAGATTGATGGATGGAGAGTTTCAGAAGTTTGGAGTCCATTTGCGTTATTGAGTGTCTATGAATGTTCAGGGTCAGGGATCAATTTCTCACCGAAAGCCTTGGCTTCTACTTCTCAGTCTGCAGTCTCACATAATTAAAGTGCCCGTAATTAACCCAGATGCCAGGTTGTCAGGAGAAATCTCACGACTGCGTCACAGCTCTTAAGACAAACGTCATCCTTTGCAGCTCTTTCGTTTCCTTCTGCACTGTCACATAATTACTGCAAGGTATTGTTTGCAGTACGAGTAGTATTTTACAGTAAAAAAAAAAAATCAACTTTCTTATATTTAAAAAAAGCTAAAACTAAAAAATCAGTGTAGCATTTATAATCAAATTTCCACCTGCATTGTTGAACTTTAGGCTCATTTGTAAATTATCAACTGATCCATTAGTTTCTGTCCTCTGTTAGTGAGAAATGGATGGAAGGAGTCACATGTCCGATATACTCTGACAATGAAACTGGATTTTTTTTTTTTTTTAACCTTTTCTACATTTGTACTCCAAGCACGCCCCCGCCCCTGTGCACGCTGTACAGCACTTCAGGCAAGAGAAAGTGCTGGAGTGTCCCGCTTCTACATTACATTACATAAAGCAGAACAACGGAAGCTCATTTCACCCAATTTGTATTCACAGAAGCTAAAAATATATAATATAAAAGCTTCCAAATGGCTCTTGTCTATAAAGGGGCAGCGCTGGAGCCCTGAACATCACAACACTACTCATTCGTTCGGGAAAAACAGGAGCGCAGGGAACAATTTAGCACGGGGAGGAATGACACGCGGTTTATTGTTCTTCTCCAATCACACGTTATATAGTTCCAGCGTGTAGATATTCGGTTTCACAGTTTCATGTTTATACAACAGAAAAAAATCGAATTTATATGCAATACTTTTCAAAAATGATGCAAAGGATGATTGTGAATTTCCATCAAGTATCACGCAGAAAACTCGTGTGAGCTCTCGTAGACGAAAGATTAAACTGGAAAGCTGAAATCAAATTACCCGACTTACCCATCCTTTAATGTTAGATATGCAGTTTCCCTTATATTATATTGCAATAATAAGTAATAATATTATTATGACACTGATTCAGCTCCAGAATTGGATGGGAATGGAAGAATTGATGGGTATTAACCCCGGCTTCATTTTTACTTCATTTTTAACTACTGTAACAAAGAAATTTCACAGCTTTGGCGTAAATAAAATATATCTTATTTATATTCAATGATCTTACATGTGCTTCTGCATATCCATCATGTCTGCTAATCCAGTTTAAGAGCCATGGAAGGACTGGAGCTTATCCCAGCTGTCAGAGGGTGAAAGGTGGCGTATAAACTGGATAGCTTTCCCAGTCTATTGTGGGGGCCGAGCCATATTTGTTTAGGTTTCAAACATGAATTGAAAGAAAGAACTTAAAGTATTTTAGTCAGCCAGGGAGAAAATGAATCCCATTTGCATTATTTTCATGTCACAATCTCAGTTTTTTTTGTTGTTGATATCATTCAATTTCGGCTCATGTCCTTTCTTCTTGTGCTTATAGTGATAGTAGTAGTGTAGCTTGAGGATTCCCTCACTTGCTTTCTCCTGTCTGTATATCAGTACCTGTTACCTGTTTTCCCCAGTTGTCATTTCCTCTTTTACTTTAAAGGTGGTTCTTCTTCTAGTTTTACTTCCCTTTCCCTTCAAATCACTTGATCGCTTTAGCTGTGGGTTTAACACTCTGCTATTGTAAATATGAAACATTTTAGCATCCTATAGTACAAAATGAAAACTTTTACACAAAATGTTTCACTTTGGCACTTTTGTTGATCGTCATGGTATGATGATGCATTTGCTATGAATTCTGGGACAGCTTATCTTCTTTCCTTGTCCAATATATCTGCTGCTAAAGGAGGTAATAAAGTAAGTACTGAACTACCTTTTCTTAGTATACAGAGAAGATGAACAGATGTTATTACGGCTGTTATGTAGATACTTCGCTCAGTTAATAACCTAATGTTATCTGGCATCATGTTTTCTCTCCTGTTTGTTTTCCCTAGCTGTCTAGCTAAACTCCTCATTTTTGTGTTTTACTCTTGTGAATATAGTGTTTCTGCCCCCCCCCCCCCCTAGGTTAATAACAATAAGCTATAAAAATGTCTTTTCTCTTCAGTGAGTGGGATGTTTGATTAAACCTTTCAGGCTTCTTTTCTCTTGTGCTCTGTAGTTATTTCATTTATTAGTGTGCAATTTCCATTTTTTAATTGAAATGACTGGGAGTTACAAATGTCCTAAAGTGGGCTAAAAGTGCATAATGAATAAAAAAATTGATAATAATATGTCGTGAAATGAATTTTAAACCTTATGAGATATTGCTGTGATAAGTATTGCTGTGCGAATGGTGTTGCTTGTATTTCTTACTCCTACCGCAACAGCCTTCAGCCTTTACGTGTGATTGAAATTGTGCTGAAAAGCATAAAAACTGCTGATTGTGGGCCACTGTGACTCAAATCAGCCATCACAAATGAAAATGAAAGCATGTCAGGACGCATTATAGCCACGTGCTGACTAACAGGGTCTGGGACGGCTCCGCACCTGCATCTGCACACTAACAGCTGTGATACACGCTCTGAGGAAATGACAGAAGTGTCACCACAATTTACAAATGATCCAGTGAATATTTTTGCGCTAACGAGCATCAGAAGTGATACACAGAATAAAAAGAGGAGACAACAAACAGAAGACGAGGAGACGGAGGAAAAAAGACGAAATGCTAGAGGTTAGTCTTGAAGACAAGCCACACTCACCGACTTCTGTTTCTGTTTAGCCGGGCCACCTACAGTATCAATCCACACAAAAGCCAGAGGAGACAAAAAAAAGCACAAAACACAAGAGCACATTTAGTTATTGACAGGTTTGGATTAGAGGGGTGGGGGAATTGGGAGAGGAGCTGTTTGTTGATTAAAGCAGAGTTTACACTGACTGCCTCCTCTGTGAATTCATTTTCAAACAGATTCAGACTGATATCCAGCAGCAGCTATTTCAGAGAGGATCAGTTAGCTCAACACCTCTCCCAGCTCAACAAGCACAGAAACGCACATCCAAACATATCAGTGTAACCGTGGGAGCCTGAGGGGCCAAACAGTGTTAGATTTTGGATCTATAGCAGCAGCAGGGACGGATCAGTTATGAGAGGTTAGTGAGAGATGTAGAGTGGAAGAAGGAGAGCTTAAACCTGGATATCTTGGAGGAAAGGGGGGCAAATGCAGGACGGAGGAGGAGAGAGATCACCTTGCCCTCTAATGTTACCTTCTTAAAGAAGGGCAGTCGGTGGATGTTGGCCTGGGGGGATGTTACGCTGCCTGACATGCTCTTGGAAGAGCGAGGGTCACCCTGGGACTCAGGGGCCTCCTCAGCCTCCAGGTCGAGGGGGTCAACGTCAAAGGCCACTGTGGACATGTCTACGTGAGCTGATGATGGGAAGGGTGGACGTTGGAGAGACGGAACAAAAGAACAGGAGAAAGAGGAGAAAGCGAGATGAGGTGGAGTGAAAAAGGATGAGAGCAGAAAGAATAGCAGAAGGGAGAAAAGGCAAGAGGGGGAAGAATAAAGTGTGAGATGCATCCAGAGAGAGGCAAGAGATGGCACAGAGACTGGAAAAAAGTGACACAGAGTATGATTTAAACTGGAAACGACACTTACAAGAGTCTTAAAAAGAACACACCACAATTTTATGAGGCAGAGCACAGAAAGTGAATTTGGTGCGACGAGAAAGAAACAAAACCTGAAGTAAAGATGTGAACGAACCGTTGAGAAGGATGGCTGCAGCGGGAACTGGAAAAAGGTACAGGTAGGAAAGAAGGAATCAAGCAAAGAGGGGAAGTTTGGGGTGGAGACAGGGTGTGTGTTGCTATAGGGATGAGGGAGGGCGAATGGGGCCTTGCAGGTGTCTTGTTTTAAAGGTATATCATGGAAGGGTTGAGTAATTGTAACAAAATTGTACAAAAGTAGCAAATTTGTAGCTCATTAAAATGTGTGTGTATATCTAACTCTCTCTCTAGTATATCTCGAATCTATGTCAAATTCTGACTTTGAGTCAGAACAACAACTTAGGATGTACAAGGTGTGTTAGAGAGATGATTTTTCTGTTACACAGATATGCAAAGCCTTTTAAAGTCAATCAAGAGATGTTTATGTTTACCCATTTCCTCCACCGTCTCTCCTTCTCTCTGTCAGCCAGACGTACTTAACAAGTTTAATGAGTGAAGTTCATTTTCGGCTCTATTTCAGTCCCGTCTTGTGTGCTAATGACAGACCTCCTAAGACCTTTCTCGCTTCACACAGCAACCCACTGAGACACGCTGTGATTCATCATCATGCCTGACTAACTAGCCAATTAAAATCTTCATCTAAATATCAGGCGCCCGTCTCATCTCGCTATCTCTCTCGCTCTCTCTCACCCTTTCAGGTGCCCACACAAACGCACACGCACAGACAGGCACTATGTTTCCACGTGACAGGGCGACCTTGTGACCTCACCTGTTCCAGGTGGAGTAGGCCTGCGGGTTCCCGTGGCAACGTCGAGACTAGAACTTCCTCCAGATTTACTGAAATACAGAAAAACGGGCACAAATAGCCATAGCTTGGAGAACGATACATGATTCCTTTTGATTTAATTTTTATTTTCTACCTTAAACAAAGAAGAAGACACAAATTGTTACATATAATGATGCGAATGTAAACATTAAAAAACAAAGAGAACACGTGGAAAACTGCTTAAATTACCTGCTGACTGTGCAGAAATTCATATTCAACTAATATGTATACTAAAATCTGTTTCCTCTACTGCATGTGTAAATACAGAGACTATAGAGACTTTTGTACATACTATACTATAGATGCACTGAGTAACAGAGTGACTCACAGCAGTGCTTTTGTCTATTTCAGTATGTTTTACATTGCCGCTGAGTGCTGTGTGACTCATGTGTGACCTGTTTTAAAGAGTGGGTTCTTGTTTGTGCTGCTGATAACGCAGACACAGAGAGCTCGCTCTTCATTGTTACCTGGAGCTGAGTCGGTTTTGCCTCATCCTCTGCTCCTGCAGCAGACGGGTGTTCTCCAGTTTGACCGGGCTGGGAATGAAGCCCACCTCACAGCCCTCTTTCACCAGACGCCCGATCCACCAGTCATTGTTGTACTTCTGTATTCAGAACAGACAGGCATCAGAGGGCAATGCAGCATTTTATACAAATATATTTTACCATTTGACCCTTGTTTTCTGCCATGGATATATTAAACATGAGAATCCACCATTGTACAAACATGGCTATAGTTTCAAACCTTCTTAATGCCGGGGGAGGACTATCTGAAGAAATGGCTTAAGGAGAGAGCAGCCTTAAAAGGAGAGGAGTTAAAGTGTCTCATCTCAAACAGAAGAGGGCCGGCACCAAGGTCCAATATAAGCTAAATAAGGCTTAATTTAAACTGTGAATCATCACTTCTCCAGTAGAGCACAAGAGCATTTCTGCAGCCAGAAATTTTTCCCAAATAGGGCTGCATTAAAACTTTCATAATTTAAAACTTTTTGAATATGATTATTAAGGTTTTATATGAAACTTTAGACTAAATATAAAGTGTAAAACAAGCTAAATGACAGCCCAAACTTGGTAAAAACACACAATTCTGTATCTTGAGTCACTCAAAGTATTAAACAGTATTAAACAAATCAGAGCACTACTTTTATTTAGCAAATATTTTCCCATTTTTTTCCCAAATTTGGATCACCTATTTCTCACTGCACTGCAGCTTGTATTGCAGCTAACTCCCACTCATGGCCTGGCTAGGCTTTACAAAAGAAGGAGGCAGTGCAATAAGTTGTAGCATGATCCCTCATTGGTTTCCCACCCACCACCACTGACAGTTTTTGGATGGGGCCAATATGCTACTGGCATTCTTTTCCCAATACCATCCAAAATCCAAAATATCCTCACTCGAACTCAAAAGCATTAACTTTAGTTAACGTTGGTGCTCTAAGCCACAGAAATTACTCTCAGTGTGAAAAATGTACTGAAATGACTCTATAATAAGAGAATGAAATAAGTTCAAACCTCTTTAATGTGCAAGAAGTCTTTGGCTTCAAAGGAGATGGCCATGCCCTGCACAGGAACATCATCATTGGGGCCTGGGTTGTAACCAACATTTGTACGCACAGCAAATGCCACTGGTTTGGTCTGGAGCCAAGATGGGAGAAAAGGTATTAGTATGCACAGAGCAGCTCACTAAATCGCACTTTAGAGGTGCCTGATACAGCTGAAGAGATTTAACTGTGTCCAAACACTTAATCACGTGACAGTTACTCAATAAGGATGAGCACACAGCATAAGAGATGGATGTGAAAGGCTTGATCTCTGACCTTTGCTTTCTCGAGTGTGGCGAGAGCCTGCCTGTCGGCCTCCTTCCTCAGAGCCTCAGGGTCCTCCTCCAGGGACACGTCCGAGTCCGACGGTCGGCTGGTGTAGGAGTCTGCAGAGCCCTGAAATGCACAAAGAATTCATATAATGAAAGCAGAGTTAGACCAAATAAGCATGAGGTTTGCAGTCTAACTGATGAATTGCATGCCCATCAGTCCACTCGTGTTGCACCTTAAATCCACTTATGTGTCTTTCGGCTGCTCCTCAATATGAGGAGTAAAGGTTGCAGCCTGTTTTTTTAATATCCTGAGATTATAATATCAAGACCACCTTGTGAAGTGCAACCTAAATAAACACAAAGAGAACCCCGCCCATCACACTGCATGAAGCTGACTCTGTGTTATTCGAGGTTGGAAGGATGCATAACATTTTCATTTGCCGACACTTCCACCGCAGCATCGAGAGCGGCCGGGGTGTTAAATCTTATTTTTTGCACAGGCACAATAGATTCAGCATGTGTGGGTGTGTCAAGTACAGACAGAAAGATGTGGAGAGGGGAAAAAAATGGCTCGAGGACTGTTTATAATATCAGCGAGGATATAAATTTCTCATGAAGTGGCTACAGTTTCTAACACATCCACCACTCATGCACTGTAACTCGACTCTCTCCTGCTGACCCTCTTTCAGACACCCATGCCACAATCAAAAACCCGAGCCTCCTCCGAGCCTGCAGAGTCGACCCGCTGTACTGCTCAGCATGTCCAGCGCAGGGAGGGAGGCAGCCTGAACTTCTGAAGTGTTCGAGTGTTCAATTTATATAACAATCCCACTTGTTCTCTTGTTGCTGTTTTCGTTTTTGAGCTGACAGGCTGCCTGATGCTTTGTGGGAGGTACTGACAAAAATGTGGACAAATGAATGTTCCAGGCAGAAAAAATGAGTCACTAGGTGTGGGTTTTTAAAATAGAGGTGAGAATGAACAAAGATGACATACAGCATATGCAATGATGATGAAAAATTCCCTGCACATGTGTACTCAGACAAACAGTGAGTATAACAGATATCTTTGGACTGTGGCCGGCTATTGTTAGGAATTTCTTTCAGTATTGATGCCAATATTAGAGTTAAAGTATGTCAACAAATTTTTTTTTTTATAAATCCACAGATTGGAGAACGTGAGTATGCTAGCAGTGCTTTTCACTGTGTAACTACACTCAGTGCATTACTGGTCAAATCTTACTGTTGGCGCTGCTGTTGCTTTCTGTTTTCCTTAAAGCTTAGCAACCAACAACAACACAGGACATGTGATTTGTCCTACTTTTGCAAAGAAGAAAAAAGTAAAACCGTCATACCTTTACATGAAGCACTTAGCTGCTTTGTGGAGTTAATGGTAAGAAAACATTAGAAGCAACTGTGTGATTTTATTCAACTATCTAGTTTAATCCAACCATCACATAGGCCTAAGTTTGTATTCTCAGTGATTATGAAAAACTGTTAATGGAAATAGACCCATTAACAGCTTTACTTCAGGCTCCTGATAGCCACTGTTACATCTGTTCCATCCTGTTACTTCTTTTCCAAAACTGACACAAGACGAATCAGGACTATGTATTGTTTAAATAAGAAAGAATTATTTTCATGTAATCAATCACTTCTGTTTCTTTTAAAATATAACTATAGATATAAAAATATATATCCTAATAATAAATATAGATTTTTCCTTTCCTATACTGCAGGACTTCACCTGCAGGCTTTTCCCACACTTTTGTAATAACTGTTCCAGTGTTTCTCCAGTGGGTCTAATAGATGCAGCACACCTAGTAGTTCTTTGGAGTACAGCAGGTGGGACGTTACATTATTTTTTAATTTTTAATGTCTAGTAAAAAACCCCAAAACATTTCCCTAAAATAATTAAGCTGTAATTAGTTCAATTAAAGTAAACCTTTTGCATTCAGTATTTCAAAGGCTCATACATACGATTTCTGATACCAATCAGTGAATTGTCAGTATGTAAGTTTTATGATCATAATAATAATACAATTTATTTATAGGTGCCTTTAAAAACACCCAAGGACACTCTAATATAAATGAACATAAATCAAGTTAAAATTAGACAGTGCAAATGATCTTGTTAGGTGTGGCTGTGTGCAGACAGGAAAAGGACCCAAGGTGCAGACTCCAGAGACAGAACTTAAACCAAAACAGCTTTAATGCTGAACTCAGACATACATAACTGGGGAAAAAGGTCAAAAATAAACTAACACCAGCAGATTGACAAAACACACAGCAAAATAAACGGTAGATCGCGACACAGACACCAAGAAACACAGGGCTTAAATACACAGAGGGAGCAATCAGGGAATGGGTAACAGGAGGGAAACACAGCTGGGGCAAATCAGGCCTAACGAGACAAGGGGGAAGCAAAACCAGACACATTAACATCAGACATGGACTTTCAAAGTAAAACAGGAAACATAACACAGACTCACGGGCAGGCACTATAACAAAAGGGAACAGAGACGTGGGAACAGGGCAGACACAAACACTGACTGAACACGGGGATATAGGAACTTAAGATACACATAGACACGAACTAGACAAGGGGATGCAGGTGATAGGGGAGACAGAGCAACTAAAGAAGACAGAGACATAAGCCATTAGATAGAACTCAAAGAAACCAAAAACTAGACAGTATAAATAATATAAACTCAAAAGCCCTGGGTCGACGACCCAGGCATCCTAACAGTACCCCCCCCTTAAGGGCTGGCTTCCAGACAGCCCAAACCAAAACATCAAAAAAAACAAAAACAACCCAACCAGGGTGGGCGGCGGGGGAAACAGGATGGAGGGCCCGAAACAAAACAAAAAAAAAAAAACAAAAAAAGTGCAAACACTGGAGCCCGAAAGCAACAGAACAAAACACAGAAACAAAGTCCAAAACAACAGCACCAAGGCCCAGGCAAAGTCCAAAAGCAAATAAACAAAAGAGCTCACAAAAGGCGCAGAGGCCCAGACAATAGTCCCAAAAAAGTTCAGGGGGGCCGGCCCGGAGGCTGACAGTCCAAGAGCCCAGAAAACAGTTCAGGAGGCCGGCCAGGCAGAAGGCCCCGGTGGCGACGGAGCAGATCAGGAGGCCGGCCGGGCGGGAGGCACTGGCGGAGGAGTAGTTCAGGGGGCCGTCCATGACGGCGGCGTAGTTCCGAGGGCTGTCCATGACGGCAACGACGTCCAGTCATCGGCCGGACAGAACGTGCAAGACGAGCAGGCCGGACAGGACGAGCAGGCCGTGCAGGCCGTGCAGGAACAGACAGATTGGAGACCTCAGGGGCAGACAAAACTGAACCCTCGGAGGCCGGACCAGGTGTAGCAGAAGCCGAGGCAGAAGCTGGACCAGGCGTAGCCGAGGCAGAGGCTAATGGCGGCTGGATGGGCTCCTCGGGCCCTCCAGCTGAGGTGGCGTGAGACTGAACGGGCTCCACGGGCCCTCCAGCAGGAAGAGACAGGCTGAAGCGATTCCTCGGACCCTCCAGCGGAGACAGGTGGCTGAAGCGTTCCTCGGACCCTCCAGCGGAGACAGGTGGCTGAAGCGTTCCTCGGACCCTCCAGCGGAGACAGGTGGCTGAAGCGGTTCCTCGGACCCTCCAGCGGAGACAGGTGGCGAACGGGCCCCTCGGACCCTCCAGCGGAGACAGGTGGCTGAACGGGCCCCTCGGACCCTCCAGCGGAGACAGGTGGCCGAACGGGCCCCTCGGACCCTCCAGCGGAGACAGGTGGCCGAACGGGCCCCTCGGACCCTCCAACAGGTGACTGAGCAAACAACTGAGGCGGAAACTGAGCAGGTGACTGAGCAGATAGGTGAGCTAATGTTCGAGCTATGGACAGAAGTTTAAGTTGTATTGACTGTTGTAACGATGGCAGTAATGGTGGATGAGCACTAAGCTGAGCTATGTCTTCCGAGCCTACGGAAAACTGCTGGACGGGCTCACCCGAGCCTCCAGCGAGGACAGAAACCGGTGCAGGGGCCAGCTGGGCAGTAGCCGCTCCCACCCGCGGAATAGGCACGGGCGCAGAGACTAGCGGAGCCTCAGCTGGCCTGGAAACTGGAGCAGGGACAAACTGGGCCCTAGCCCCCCTCACCCGAGGAACTGATACAGGTGCAGGAGATGGCTGGACCGCAGTTGCCCTGGGCGAAGGAGCACCGGAAGGCAAAGGAGCAGGCTCACTGAAAACTGATTCATCAAAAATAGGTGACGACCCTTTTCCACCACGTTTAACAGTCCGTACAGTCTTAGGTTCAACAGTGTTCACAGTCTCAGAAAAAACAGACTCGGCAAACTTGGGTTTTAGCTTGTTCCCACTCCAACGAGCAGACCTCGAACTAAAAATCTCAGACGAATGCTTATTGTGATCGAACTAGCGCGGGAGGATTTAAACCAAAACTGGCCTCCCAATCCAAATCCTCGTCGAGAAAAGAAATCCCGAAAGTGTCTGAAGTAAGTTCATAGTCTTTACTGTTCAACGGCTCAGGTGGAGTTTGGAAAGTGTAGTCCTTTTGACTCACCACCGGAGGTTGCTCAGACGTGTCCATATGACGGCGACGTGAGCGCCGTTTCCTGTGGGCAGAGGTAGCTGACGGCGTGAGCAACTGAGCCTCCGGTGCACAGAATGGTGACGCTGAGGCCGGAGCGTGAGCGCCTGAAGCCACGCGGAGGACTCCCACCTGAAGCGGCCGCATCTTGAGTGCCAGCGGAGCAACAGGTGGAGACTTCTGACAGCTCCGGGGACCGCCGAGAGCCAGCCGAGTGCCATGGAAAATGCGCCCGACGTCAGGGGTGAGCCATGGCTTCCAGCGGAGTTCCTCCTCCAGCTGGGCAAAGGCTGCTCGGCGTCGCTCCTGAAGTTCAAAGTCTGCTGGGTCCATAGTATGGTCGCGATCTTCTGTTAGGTGTGGTGTGTTTCTGTTTTAGTGTCGGTCTTTGCAGAGCTAGGAAATCAGGACCCCAAGGTGCGAGACTCCTCAAGAGACGAGAGACTTAAGACCAAAACAGGTTTTACATGCTGAACTCAGAGACATTAGACATAACTGGGGAAAAAGGTCAAGAGTAATATACAATCAACACCGCA